CTTATTTAGTGCTATAGCTCTTTTCTTCTTTGGTAAATGCTTGTGTGCTACTTTAATAATTGCCTTTTCTAATATTTCCCAGAAGGCATCTAAGTTGTTTTTGTGGATTGCTTTCTCTTTTGTTTCAATTTCTTTGTCTAGTGCTACTCTGAAACTTTGCAAATTCTCTTCAGTCGTGTTTTTAATATCGAAGTTAACTCTTTTTTGCTTTCTTCGGAGCTTTAATGTTTGTGCTTGTGTGGCTTTTTCTTCGATATCAGTTGTGATCTTAGTAACTACCATATCATGATCACTATTTGTAATACATAACATATCAATGATATTGCTTTGGTAGGCTTTGCTACTCCGTGAGTTACTTAGCCAAATATAGTCTATTCTAGATGCTATGTTATTTCTTTTCCATGTAAATTCCATTGCGTATAGATTGAGATATCTAAATGCATCTTGAAAATTGTTCTCTGTAAGTAACTCAATTATCTTTGCTTCATTTTTGGCCCTGGCTCTGCCTTTTCCTTTTCTATCTTTTTCTGCATCTGTTACTTGATTAAAGTCTCCTAATACTATGCAGTGTCTTGGTTTTCTTTTATGCTGCTCTCTTATTGTTTTTTTTAGAATGCTTGTGATTTCTTCCTCTACTTTGGTGTTATTTGGGGCTTGGTATAACACTATAATTTCTAGATTGAATTGTTTAAATGTAAGCAACATTTCTAATATATATGGGCTGCTTCTGCTAGTCTTTGCTACATGCTTTGTCTATTTTTCCCTAATTATTACTCTTACTTCAGAGCCTTTGCTTTTGTTTTTCTCTGTGTTGGACCAGAAGGATTGAAAATTCTTAAACTTTTTGGCTGCGTATCTTCCTTCTTTTTCTGTTATATTTGTTTCACTGAGCCCAATTATATCAACTTTATTTTCTTCCATATAATCTATCAAGGTGTCTAATTTTGTTAAATTTGTTTTGATTCCGTTTATATTATATATTCCAATTACTAGCATCTCTAGATTGTCCTGACTCTCTTTTGCATTTGTGCTACTGCCAGGTTGCAGCACCATTTTTATTAGTTGCGTGCTCTTGGTGCTTGTTAGGAGTGATTAGGGATTGGACCCCTGTTGTCTTTCTTCAATAACTATGAGCCTTTGTAGAATCTCTTCTATAAGATCTGCTTGCGTTCTGGATCTTGCAGCGTTGGGTTGTGTTGGTTGTACTGCTGGGATTGGAGAGACTTTTCTTTTCCCTTTTTTAGTTTCTTTTTTCCCCTCTTGACAAGGTGGCTATGTCTTTATATTTTCTTTGTTAGACTTATATCTAGCTATTAGCGGGTTGTTCCTCTAGAGGCTTCCTTTTTAGGCATGGTTTGGTTACTAGTTTGTTGGCGATTTTTAGTTCTCTGCTCTCTGTGTATGCCTATTCTAGCCTGTTATTGTAGTAGTATATTGCTTCTTCTTGGGCCTTATTTTTATCACTCTCTGATTCAAAGTATACTGTTGCCACCTCACATTGATTCTTGTTGTAATTGGATGAAATGTATACTGCTTTTGCCCTAATATTCTTAAGCTGCCTAAGTAGTGCCATTTCTATTGCTGTTTTGGGAATCTTCTTTGCAGTTAGCTTGTACTGGCTTCTTTCTACTAGAGTATTTTTGTCAAATGTTCCTTGCGTAGCTCTAATCATTTTGCTTCTTCGAAGTGTATTGCCTAGGCTTCTTTCAGTGCTGTAGTTTTCTTGCTATCTTTAGTTTTGATTTCTACTAATACTGCCTAAGTTTTGCTATTTGCTATGAAGCCCTTAACTGTTGCTCTGCCATAGTAGCTCAGACACTTTTTGATTTGGGTAGCTCTTGTATTGTCTGGGATATTCCATAGTGTAAGCGATATTTTTTCCTTTATCTTTTTGATCTTTTTAGCTTTTAGCTTTGCTGCCTCTTGTATTTTGATCGCCTCTGTAATATCTTCTTGGGCTTTGTGACTTGCCAGTTCTTTCTCTATTTTTTTCATTCCAAAGTTAGAGGCAGGGTTGGCAATGGAGTTCAATAGAGCCAATGGAGCTACGAATGGAGCCAATGGAGTTACGAATGGAACCAATGGATACTAGTTTTTTGAACTCCATTCACATAACTATTTAACTCCATTGGCTCCATTGCCAACCCTGGTTAGAGGTGCCACATTCTGATAGTAATAGTGCTGATTTTCGAGTAGACATATCATGTTGTTGCATTCCACTATAATATTTGTCTTGGATGAATCTGTACTCTTCTTGTAATATTTTCTTTTTGGCTACCTTTTTGTATTTAATCTAGTCATAGATTTCTATTATCTTATGGATTAGAAATACTAGCTCCTGGTCTTTTAGACCCAGCCAATTAGCTATATTTTTATCCTTTTCTGCCACTTCAATTTTAAGCTCTGCCATGTATCTTTGTATAATATAGCTTTTCTTTTGTGAAAAGGTTTTTAAACCGGCTTGCTTTTTCTATCTTGAATATTAGTTATGTGCTAGTTGATCTGTTTGCTTGTTCGTCTGCACTTCACATGTTTGTTGTTACGAGGTACTGCTTTCTAAATGTAGCTACGTGTCGTTGTTTGTTTACTTGTTTGTTGTATGTTACAGATTGTGATTTGTGTTACAGGGTTTTGGCCAATTTTCCAAGTTTTTCACTTTTTTGCAAGTGCAAAGATATTTTTTTTTCTAGAGGCTTGAGTTGTTGGCCTTTATACTCCGACCTTTTATTAAGCTATTGTTTATTTGTTGTGCTTTTTACTTTTGCTTAGAGCAGTTTTGCTTGTTATCTAGATTAGATTTCTTTTTACTGCTATATCTTGTTTTTGCTTGATGTTGGAAATGAGGATCAGCAGAAAGAGTTTTTTTTTTTCCTTACCTTAGGTATTATTTATTAAATTAAATTATTTATTATTATTTATTTTGACATAGTATTAATTTAATATTATATATTATTAGCCTTGAATAGTTGAACAAGTAATTATGGATATTCCTATTTTACTTTTATAATTATAACATCTAATAAAAAACAATATGTATACTCAATTAAAGATTATTCTTATAAATCTCATACCACGATATTTACAGCTGATGAAATCAGAAAAGTTTTAATAGATATTGGTGTTGATAAGTTCGGTGCTGTTGTAACTGATAGAGCTTTAGCGATGTCACTTGCAAAACAATATATTTTAGATAAATATCCTGGAATATTACCAATTCAGTGTATTGCACACCATATTTAGCTAATTTGCAGTGATATAATTTGTAAAACCTCATTTGGAAAAAAAGTATTACAGCAATGTCAATCTTTTGTAATGTATTTTCACACATCACATCATGCTGAAGCAATTCTGTGTAATAAAATAGTTAACTCGATGATAAATAAAGGAGAATTAAAAAGTTCAGTTTGTTCATGATAGTTATCTGCATATGATTGTGTACAATCAGTTCTTAACTTAAAAATTTGTTTTAAGCAAGTATATAATTGTTATTTAAATATTATTAAAAAAATTTTTAATATAAATACAATACCATAACTTGTCATAATTATAATAAGTTACAGTATTTTTTACCATAACTTATTATAATTATGACGAGTTATAATAATTCTATATTAAATTATATTTAAGATTTATATATTAAAATTTAATTTAGATCTTAGATGATGATAAGTTCACTATGGCACCAGAATTACGAAATCTTACACAAGACTATCAGTTTTGGGCAAATGCTGATGTTCTAGCAAAAGTTTTATCTCCTGCTAAAAATACAGTTAAAATAGTTAAATCTAAAACTACTACAACTGCTAATATCTTTTTATTTCTTGTTCAAATAGCAGTGGCTATTAATACACTTAAAAAAAATAATTTATTAAAACATATAGAATTTCGTAAGCAATGTATTCAATTTTATAACAAACGTTGAAAAGAATTTGATATAAAATTTTATCTCTTGGCATATTTTCTTCACCCGAAATATTGAGGAAAAGGTATAAAAGATTCAATATTTCATCAAATTTTGTATACTGCTTTTGAAATTTGAAAAAAAATTGGTGGCAGATTATCAAGTGCAAATTTACTTGTAGCACAAATCAAAATGTATGATATATTTGAACCACCATATAATTATTCTTTTATGGAAGGAGTTGAAACTCCACAAACCTGGTAGAATGGATGTAAACTTTCAAATCATCCGTTGCAAAAACTTGTGTTATATTTATTAGCAATTACTCCACACAGCACAAGCTGTGAAAAAATATTCTCAGTTCTAAGTTGGATTATACAAAAAAAATGAAGCAGGTATGTATATATATATATAAATATGTATATATGTGTATATTTATTTAATCGAATTGTGCAGCTCACATGTACAATCACTTGATTGTTCAATCGTAGGATTGTATAGTGGTTTTCTTAACAAAAAAATTCAATATACACAGTGGTTCTCAATATAACGAAGGCCATAGTTCCAGTTCTTTATTTTGTTATATCAAGAGCTTCATAATATCAAATTTTTATAATATATTAAATATTAAATTAAATCATAATTTGTTCTATTATAATCCTTCATACCAAGCAATATCTGTTATATCAATGGTCCATCATATCGAAAGCCACTGTGTAAATAAATATTGTGATTTTCTATATATATACCTTCAAAATAATACTAATTCTCAAAATTAACTTTGTAAAAGTAAGATGTGATATGCAAAATTCGAACTGCATATATACTACAAAATAAAAATCCAAAAATTGTTTTTTTTTTTTTTTTTGTAATACATATTTAATTTCAATATTTATGATTATTTTAATTTTATATTTTAACAGAATTATCATAGAAAAAGTATCAAATATTGTGAAATTGCATATTTATTATATAACTAATATTCAAAATAAATTTAATTATATTAATCACACAATTCCTGAATCAGAATTTGAACGAGTTATGGAAAATTATGCAAATATGGTTGAGTTCGATGATGATATGTTCAATAATAATATTGAAGATGAAGAGCTTGATGCTGATTATATTTCTGATACTGAGAACTTAGATGATCTTTTACAATTCGATAGTGAAAATTTGAAGATTGAAGAAATGTTAGATTTCAGCACATTTTTGGATAAACAAACAAATGAAATAACTTATAATAATTTAGAACTTGAAGATGATGAATATGATTATGATATTGATTAAGTTATTAATGCATCTATGAGTAAAGATATATGAAGTTTTTTTAGGCTTTATGTAACTATCATTTAGCATATATATATTATTACAATGAAACATTATACATATTTTTTATATTCATTTATCTTGTATCTTCATTTATTATATATAAATAATATATGGTATATGAACATTGTTTTATCATTATAACTAAAATTTATGATAACTTAATTTTCTATCAAAGTGAGTTAATAAAAGCTAAAATTCGGTTACCAAATTTAAGTATTTGGTTTCCAAATTTAAATTTTAATTATCAAATTACATATTAATAAATCAATGCCAAATTTTGGAAAAACTTTTGAATATTTTCTTAGTAGAATAGCCTATTTTTCCTATTCTTAATGCATTTCAATACATATATAAATTTGTTATAAATATGAACTTTAACCTGGAGAATATTGATTATTTTAGCCAAAAATTAATATTTATATGTTAGTCAAATTTTGAAGTTTATCACAATGTAATTTAATGGGTTTTTAATATACTAAACTTTAAGAATATTTAATTTTCATTATTCAAATATTTTAGACTAGCAAAAATATTTTAGACATACTAAAATATTTTAGACACCCTAAAATATATTCAGCAACCTGAATTATTTACGATTTAGGCAATCTAAAATAATTTAGCTATTTAAGTTTACGCCAATGGAAAAATAATTTAAACACCCATCTATATTTGGATCTTTAGCAACAATTTTACTATAACCAAAGATTTTTTTAAAAACAGCTAATACGTAGCAGAAAATATATATATTAAATTACAGAAATATTTTTATATAACTATATAAAAACAGCATTATTATATAGTGATGGAATTTTTTTTAGTTCTGAACTAGGCCCAGAACTGAACCTAGTCTGACTTAGGTCCTAGAACTGGTTCTTGGACCAAGTCCTAAACCGAACCTAGCCTGATCTAGGTCCTGGGACTGGTTTTTGAACTAGTTTTTGGACCAAGTTTTGGACTAACCCTAGACTAACCTAGGTTTTAGGACATATCATATAAAGACTTAGTTCAAGAGTCCTTGTTACAAGACCTAAAGGTCTTAGGACCAAGACCGGACCTGGACTAACTTTACTATCTCTAATTGCAGATCTCTAGACTGAACATGTAAATACAAGTGTGTAATAACAAGTCAAGTGGATAAACAAAACAACAAATATATAAAGTTTAGTATATAAATGGATAAACAAATCAGTATCTGAGCAGACACATAAGGTGTATAGCCACAACTATTCTAGAAACATCACACACAAGCAACATGGCGGATAATCTACCAACATCTGTAGAAATTAATTGGTTCGAAAAACTAGAGAGATATCGAAACTTATTTAAAATGATAGCTGAGAATCAAAAAGCAGTCTTGGAAACACACAAGAACATGGTGCTAGGCAAGGACAAAATTATAGCAGAACTATGTAGCACAAAGCCACTAACAGTATGCTTGTTTAGAACTTTGGTTGAGACATATGACTATTGTGATTACATGAAGTCAAGAGATAAAGAAGTTTATAGTGCAAGTATAAATGCAACAAACAAGTCAAAAAGTTTTGATATTAAGAGCATGTTAAAGTTAGAGTGTGGCTATATGGATTATGGTATTAGAAATATACAACATAGTAAATGTTTAAACAATACAGTGAAAAGTAGTACATCTGCTACAAAAAGGAAAAAGGAATGAGTCACCAAAGTAATAACAATAATAATAATCTTCTACACAGTACCAAAATTAAAGAAGAAAATATTCCAACAACTAAACAACAAACCAAAACTATAAATGACAAAGACATGATAATACTAGACAAAGAAGTAAGTGATGAGAAACACCAAAGTGGAGATAATAGAAAATTGAAGCAGAAAGAAGATGTTATACTACCTGAAATTTGTACAATATGGGATATACTATCTAAGGTGCATACAACAAGAATGAGGAAATGTCTACAGTTTTTCAGCAAAATAAGTTTTATCTAGTGGAAGCCGCATGGCAACAACAAAGCTGTAGCTTTCTCGATACAGTTCTGGAATAAAAGGAGAAGAGATGTATAAAGGCGTGTATGGTCAGTCTACTTCGAAGAAGGGAAAACATTAAGACTATTACTGAGCAAATTTGAAAAGAAAATATTAGAAAAACAAGCTTATTATAAAGCTATCATAAGAAATATCCCACCTTTAGCAGTAGAAACTCTGCTATTAAGGCAGTTAAGAGTAG